AAGATGGAGGGAGCTGGCAACTTTGGAAGCCTCAAGCTTCAAAGGGTGAGGACAGGAGGGTGAAGAGGGGAGAAGAAAAGAGCTACGGGCCAGATTAAAGCCATGGGCAGGCCGCTTCCGGTCCGCAGGGTCTGCCAGAGGAAACGAAGAAAAATGGAGCTAGTGTAGGGAGTAGGAGTGTGCACTAACCCCCCCTCCCCAGTAAAATTTGGATTTGAGGCTATTCAGGGCTAACATTTGGGATTTCCAAATATCCCCAAATACTAGGTTCAGCAATGCTGGCTGGTTTGGGAGATATTCAGGAATCCCAAATATATGGCTGCATGGTACCCTATGGACCATTAAAGTCAATGGCAAGATCTCACAGGGTATAATCTGGGGGCTGGGAAGGAGGGGGTTTGAGGGAGAGGCACCAAATTTGCTGTGTAGCTGCTGGAGCCTCTCCCCAAAAGAACCCCCAAGTTCCAAATACATTGGACCAGTGGATCCAATTCTATGGGCCCCCAAAGAGGTTGCCCCCATTCCCCATTAGTTCCAATGGTGGGAAAAGTGCTTTCAGTGGGCTTGGGGAGGGGGTTTGAGGGAGAGTCACCAAATTCACAGCGTGGCTGCTGGAGCCTCTCCCCATATGAACCTCCAAGTTTCAAAGACATTGGACCAGTGGACCCAATTCTATGGGCACCCAGAGAGGTTGCCCCCATTCCCTCCATTTTTTCCTATGGTGGTAAAAAACCTAACCCAGCAAACAGCAAGGCAGGCAGGCACCCAGCAGTCAGACTTTCCCAGGGAATCTCGTGGGAAGTGACCTGTTGGAAGGTTGCTTGTTTGCAAGGAGCCTTAACACTGCTATGTGCCCAGCAGAACAAGTGCCACTGTGGCAGCGCAAGTGCCACACCGAAATCCAACAGGACACACTTCAAACCAAGAATCTCTGTTTTACAAACTGAGCGGAGGCCTTTCTGCAAAGACAGCAGAACCCTGTGCCACTGCTAACCTGCCCCCCCCCAAGCAACAAGAAGGAACAATCTAAACAGGAAAACTTTCAAAAGCCCATCCTTCAGAACAACAGTGGATGTGCAACAACCAACACAAACCAGAACTTAAAAGAAGGCACACTATTGATTTTGAAAAGCAACCCAAAACCCACCAGCTCCCCCCTCAAGGAACCCAAAAGGAATAAAACTAGCCAACAGTAAAACTTTTTGAAACAGGAAAACAAACATTTAAACTTTTAAAACATTTAAAACACTTAAATTTTAACTTTAAGCAAAGTTGAACTGAGCAAAGTCAATCCCCCCCAACATCCACCCAACAGAACCCACCCACCCAGACCAATCAATCCACCCACTCAACACAGGATACATAAAAGAAGACTTAAAAACCATTTTAAATTTTCTTTTTTTAAAAAAAGTTATATTTTTCCGAACCCTCTTTAGTCCAGTCAGGCAGGAGTCCACCACGGTCCAGCAGGGAAGAGACAGGCAGGCCAGGCACAGGGCAGCTGAAGCCAAGCCAAGGCCAGCAGCTACACAGTGTCTCCAGCCAAGCAGCCAGCCAGCCAGCAGTGGAGTCTAGTAGCCACTAGGCAGGACTCCTACTTAAATGCTCTCTGGCCATTCACAGAACACTTTCAAAAAAGAACACTGTCCTGTGATTGGACAAAGAGCTTTGCAAACTGCAATCCTATTGGCATAATTGCAAGTTCTCCCTTCCTCATCCCAAGCAAGGTAGGTGGTGCTGTGCTGGGGTGGACCAGCAGCAAGCAATGTCAGCCTTGCAAAGAGCTGCACCATGTATATGTAATTTGTAGATACATGGCAGTGATTGGGTGTAAGCTGCCCTCTTCCCCCTACCCCTCCCTCCATAGCGCATGGCATCCAGAGAAGAGGCAGGAAAAGCCCTGAATTGGTGGGAAACCGGAAAGGCAGGAGGAGGTAAGGGAGTATTTTGAACTTTAACATACACACCCTTCTAACTGTTTCCCACCATTATTCAGGGCTGCTGTATTCAGCATGATGAATCAGATTAGAGAATCTGATTTGGCATTTGGGGAGCCCGAATACTGCCAAATAAGCAGTATTTGGGCTATTATTCGGCTTGGCTGAGCTGAATGCACATCCCTAGTAGGGAGGGGGGCTACACCTATGAGTCCTTGTGGGTCCCCCACATCTAATATAATACCTCTTGGGTATCTAATAAGTTTAATAATTGTTATAACTAATGGCTTAGCTTGGTGCTAAGGAAATTAACTTGGAAGGAACCCTGGTCTTATTTGGATGTGATTGTAAACATCAAAAAGTAACTAATTGGCTTGTGGCCCACAAGGGGTTCTAGGTTGTTCACAAACCATGGTTTAGTGTTATGTCTGATGCTGGCCTTTTGGCATAACCCTTGTATTGTTGATTCAGATAAAATGTACATGTATAGGTATTACTTAACACCTAAGCTGTTCAATCATATTTACAAAATCAGGTGCTGGAAGTGCAAATTTCTTAATATAGATCATCATTGATACTGATGAGTGTGTTATAGGTTTGCTGATTTTAGGCTCTGATTTAGGGAACCCTGCAGCTCCTCAAGTACAACTGCCAGGGAATAATAGTGTGTTCTAGAGTGCTCATTTAGTTCATGTAGAGAAATTGTGAGGCCCAATGTACCTGCCCCATTAATGCCCTGCATTAATTGAGTACATACACTACATGGTGTTCTAGTATCCTCTACAAAATTTACTCTTGACAGGCAGAGGCTCTCCAGGGTATAATGTTGAAACCTTTCATATCCCGCTACTACCTGATTCTTTTACCATAGAACCTAATCCTCTGGGACCTTTGTCATCCAGAGCAGATCCTCTACCACTGAGCTATGATCCCTTCTCCAAAAAGCCACCAAGTTTTTAAATGAGTTTAAAGCAGTCATGCAGGAGTTTCACCCCTCCCCAAACTACTAATAGCTTTCATACAAGATGTAACTGATTTTTTTTGCATACCAAGATGTTTCTGAGGTTCTTTCCATCTTGTAATTTTTTAAATTGTAGCTTCCCTCCTTCCCTTCTTTCAGTCTGAAGACAAATGAAATAGGTGAGTGCCAAATAATGGTAGCTGGAACGATTGCAGTGCTCTTTAGTCATTTCAGTGGTGATGAGTGTGAAGTACTTGGTGGCTTTTAAGTTGTACATATATTGCATCTGTAGATCTCTGAAATGTAGGCAGACTGGTTTCAGATGAAGCTTCCTCAGCCTTTGTCATTCCTGTTCAGAACATGTTTTTCCAATCCTGTACTGTGGAATGGTCAGGAATTAATCAGACATTTTGATCCTGTTGTGTAAGTTAGCTCACAAATGGCAAAGCTGCAAGGAATACAATTTGACCTGTAATAAAGAAAACGCAGGATACCAAACATGGCTGGAAGAATGTCAGGCACGATATCCAGAAAGCCAATATCTCCAATATTTTTCCTGTGCCAGTACTTATAAATATGTGACATGAGTTTAGTATAATATGAATACAAAGATGTGAATACATATGTAATATCCTCATATGAATACATAAGACATGCCTCACTGCCTACATAGAAATGTATAAATGTAACAGGAAGCTGGTCATCTTAAAGTTTATATAGTCATGTCCCACTTTTTTGGTCCATTGCACCATACAGGTGCCTATATATACTGCTTTATTAAGGGAACCCAAATTCTGTGACCGGTCCATATTTTGCAAATTAAACAAATGTGCTTCATTTGCAAAGTGTGTTTGATAAGAAAAATGGAAATACATGCAGTACTTACAGTCTTAGTGTTTTACTACTTTAACAACATAGAATGTGTAAGAGATAGTATAACATTGTACTATTTGCCATAATTGTGAAATTTAAAATATAAATTCTTTATGGTACAGTCCTAACCAGCAGCACATCCTTCTAAGTTCATTGAAGTCTGTTGGCTGAGAAAAGTATAACTCTGTTCAAGACTGCACTGTTAGTTTTCTAGAAGCAAAATAGTGACAGTAATCAGTACTGCAAGAGAGAGCGAGCGAGCTGCAGATTGCTGCACTCCATGCTAACTTAGTGCACCTATCTTAGTTTTTGCCATCTGTAAAGCAGGAACAAATAAGTTGAAAACAGGAAACACAAATTTTGTAGTACAGAAAAGGAAGTGTGTACACTGTCACAGAGTCACACAGGAGTAGCAGCATATTTATTATATCTCATTTAATATTACAAAGTTTAATTCTTCCATAGTGTATTATACACATTCCAGCTACTCTTTTGTGGACAGATTAGTCGCATTTTAACAATATGCATATAGAACATATTTTTCTAAGGTATGTCTACAGTACATATAAGAATTATCATTATTTAGTGCTACAGGTTGTTTTACATAAATATCTTCATAATATGCAATTTTGCATGAATAAAACCTTAAAGCATTTCACTTACTCCAAAAGAGATTTCATTTAAAAGGTTTTTTTAGTGCTCCTAAAGTTTCTAATTTTTCCATTGGAAAAAATTGGAAAAACAACTCAGGGAGGGGGGGAGCAGATTTTCTGGCTCCTCCCACCAGCTTTCACATCTCTGGTCCTCTGTCTGCTGGGAATTCTACTGAGTTGATCTCTGTATGTCTGGGGCATTATAATCCCACCCTTCCTTTGAGCACTATACGTACTTCTCCCTCCGTTGTTTTGTCATCACAACAGTCCTGTAAAGTAGGCTGGGCTGAGAGACAGTGACTGAACTGAGGTCCACCCACCAGCTACCTGGCAGTGCAATCCTAAATAGAGTTACATTCTTCTAAGTTCACTGACTTCAGTGGACTGAGAAGTGCATAACTTTGTTTAGGACTGCACTATATGTCTTGCAAGGCCCAGTACAACTCTTTAATTTCTGCAGAACGCTGTTTGCTTGGGAGATTTCACCAAGCATCTGCTAATCCTTTAACAACTATAATGGATAGGACTTTGCTTTTTCCTAAAGAGTAAGCAGGCTTTGATTCTTGGGAAGCTGGACTTATGACTTTTCTGTGTGTGAGTGGAATGTGAATACTTGTTGTAGTAGCAGTCTACCTTGCAAAGCAGTTTAGAGGATTGTGCACAATTGGTTCCATAGAAGTTCTACAGCAGTAAAGTAACTGTACTTGGTAGCCAAGGCTGTATTAAGACAAGGAAATGGAAATCACATGCAGTTGGTATTTATGTAAGTTTCTTCTTAAATTAGGCTCTGTTGCGTGCTGCTTTCCGAACATCACTTAAGTACTGACAAAATTTGGCTTTTCCTTCGGAGAGCAATGTGTTGGTAATGGCCACTAGAGAGATGAGGTGGAGGTGGTGATTGGAAGTCAGGGAGGGTCCGGCAGCCACACCAAGCACAGAAGAGCTGGAACTCTTGAACAGATGCTTCCTTCCCCTCTGAAATGAGGCCTGGAATTCTGTCTTTTCCCAAAATGGTTGAAAATCCCAGATATATTGGAGGCTAGTAGATACTATATTCCGTACATTTCACAGAAAAGGTACAGCCTTATACATTCAGTTGAACTGATTACTCTTTCTTTCATTTTCTTTTTTTCTTTTCTTTTTCTACAGAAAACCTTTGCCCCTAATATAATTAGCAGGAAGATCAAAGAGGAGTAAGTAGCCTCTTTATTTTATTTCTGTGGAGTCTGACTGGGTGAATGAAGTACCTGATGCAGTTATCAGTCTGATGATGAGGCAAGACTTATATATTCTGGAATTATTCAGTGCTAGAACAACAGGACTTAGAAGCCATGTGCTCTGGTGGAATGGGGTCTACTAATACTCCAGGCCCATGTGGAAACGATTTTACCTCCCCTTTCTCATTGCTGTGCTCGCTTACTATGTGCAGGGTACTCTTTTAATTGAACAACAGTCAAATTTATCATCCTGCACCTGTGGCATGCAGGAAGGGGTGTGTGGCATGCAATTTCTGCCTGTATGAATTCACTGTTATTCATGAATTAGTGCACATCAAGCTGCGGAAGGAAAAGCATTGGGAAGTTTCTGAATGCGCAATGACACATCTTAAGTAGCAAGAATAATTTTGGACTTTGTTGTTGCTTGATTTGGTGTGCTTTTCCTTAGGCCAAAAGAGGATGTTTCCATCAAGAAAGAGAAGAAGGAACGTGATAGAGACCGACAGAGAGATGGTCATGGACGAGGACGAGGGAGGCCAGAGGTCATCCAATCTCACTCTATCTTTGAACAAGGACCAGCTGAAATGATGAAGAAGAGAGGTATGTGGAAGAGTTGTGTGGACAAGTCACTTTCTGACCTGGATTTTAAGAGAAATCCTGGCTTCAGTTATTTGCTCATCTGTTGACTCACTGGTACAGTATTGGCTAAGTTTGTTTAATTATTCATTTATTTGTAGTCAACTTTTCTATTGTAATAGGGTGTATAACAAACACAGTAATAAAATTGGAATGCAAAGTTAGAAAATGATGCAATAAAAACAGTATAAGGCATGACATAAGAAATGCAACACTGGAATACAGAAATAAGAAAACTATGCAGTAAAAACCAGAAATACTTACAATGACCAGTGCTATAAATTTCAAGCCCTTGCCCCATTGTAAAAACATCTTTCTTAACAATTTCATTTTACTACAGCCCTGTTCCCTTGATTAAAAAATCCCTCCTGAACTCTTCTGGTTTACACATTCTGCAGAACCATAGAAGTGTGGGAGCCTTGCTGGTCTCCTTTGGCAGGTCATCCAACAGATCAGGAGCCACAGCAGAGAATGCTCAGGTTCAGGCAGCTGCTGATCTTACCCATTTGCAGGGTGGGGCCTTCAGCAGACTTCATTCAGTGACTGCAGCTGTCACAGTGTGACTTACCAGTGGAGGTGGTCCATTAGCAATGTCGGTCCTACACCGTGAAGGGATTGGAGGTGATAGTCAATACCTTGAATTTAACCCAGGAAATAATTGGTAACCGCTGGAGTTATTGCCTCTTAGTTTACGTTTCTGATCTGTGAAATGGGACAACTAATGGCCTGCCTTCCAGAATTGTTACAAGATTATATGACTTGTTGCAAAGCATTCTCTGGTGCCTGCATGAATCAAACCTCTCCTTCTCCATGCAGCCAGTTATAGTGTGCACCTGCTTACCCTGCCTGCCAAGATACCTTCAACTTTGGCTCTATTCACTGCCACAGCTGGCTTTACGGTATTGTATTCACCCCCAAAGGCTGCTCAACAACAAGGAGGAGGAATGCTGCTGATCCTGGATCTGCCATGGCTGGCTTCCCTGAGTCTGCGGCAGCGACTCCCATAAATGAGATCACATATAGCTAATCAGATAACCACTTAGCAAACAGCATTATGTAATGTCAGGTAATGCTGTGATGTCTTGCACTTCAGGAAGTCAAACCACACGCCAATCAAACATTTATTCAGCTATAAGTCATAACAATCGTGTTAAACAAAGCACAGATTCTGCTTTAGATCATATCTGGGCAGAGCCTGTTATTGTGTACAGTGCCGAGAGATTATGGATGCTTTATAAATAAGAGTGAGAAGTATTTAATAAAATCTTGCATAGCCCAGAAAAATCCGCAGCATTATTACGTCAGTTCACTGAATCACCCTGACAGTTGACACCTTCATCAAAGTAGCCAATTGAACAAAATACTGCACAGCAAACATCAAATTATATTACAGTGCAAGACATCACCAAAGGACTGAGCATTTAGCCCTATTGACGAAATACGGGGCAAAAATATTTTGGGAAAGGTTATTGATTATTTCCTGAAATAGTGAAGCACTTTGCAGGGGGAAGCAAAAACTAAATTTATCTTGTACTGGACATCTGATGACGTGAGCTCTGACTCATGGTAGCTGATGCTGGAATAAATTTTGTTAGGCATTAAAGTGCCACTGGACACCTGTTTTATTTTGGGCACTCTACTGTCTCCTTGTTTAAACTCTCCCATGCTTGCTGTTTCTCTTCCTGCTTGCACAACTGTGGCTATAACCACAGATTAAGTACACTAGGTTCACTCTATTGTGAAGTTGGTAACACCAGGGGTTGTTTGGAGCCGAAGTGCGCCGGGGCACTGCTCCGGCAACCCAGGAGTGGGCACAAATGGCGGTGGTGGCAAGCCCCGCCCCCGCACTCCTGCCTTTCCCCCTGAGCCTCTCCACTTTTGCGGAGAGACTTGGGGGTGGGGGGTTAAATCCCTGGCTTCCCTACCTCAGCTTCTCCAGGCGCCCCGCAGGGAAGCCAGGCTTTTGCAGAGAGACTGGGGGGGGGATTTAAACCTATTTGCATAACTCATTTTAAGCATGCCTGCCCTTTGTCAAGGGGTGTGGCATATGCAAATGAGTTATGCAAATGAGCCCCTGCACCTCTTTTTCTAGGAAATAACCCCTGGGTAACACCATTGTGCAAACTGCTCTTGGTCGTGGAGTCTGAGGTTATGTTATAGAAGATGCATTCTGTTATTAGAGATGCATTCTTCTCAAAGGCTGTGCAATTCTCCATTTCCACCCAGGTACCTGGGATAAGACTGTGGACATGTCTGATTTTGGCCCATCCCACATCATCAACATAAAGAAGGAGAAGAGGGAGACAGATGAGGAGACAAAGCAGATCCTGCGCATGTTGGAGAAGGATGATGTGAGTCTGAGACCGACAGTGTTTGAAACTCCTTCCTTAATGTGGAGCACAAAAAAAGGCAACACTCATTGCCTTGGGCACCCAGATCCTCCCATCTTTCTCTCGTCCTGTGGGAGACAGGGTTGCCTTTTCCATCTTGGAGGCCTGTGCATGAAGCTGCCTTGGACTGTGTCAGACCCTTGTCCATCAAGGTTAGTGCTGTCTACTCTGACAAGCAACAGCTCTCCAGGATCTCTTTCCCATCACCTACTACCTGCTCCTTTTGATTGGAGATTCCAGGTGTTGAACCCAAAACCCTGATGCTCTACCACCAAGTCACAACCCCCCCTCTACTGCAACAGGAGTAGCTCTCCTTTTTTCAAACATTTAGTTACTTCCTTTCTTCTACCTCTGTTGCTAGTTCCTTGATGACCCCGGCTTAAAAAATGACATCCGGAACAAGCCCGTTCAGCTGCCCCTGGCCCATTCTGGCTGGCTTTTCAAGGAGGAGAGTGATGATCAAGAGGACGTGAAGCATTTGAGCTCCAGCACCGAGGAGATAATGGAAATGGACATACCGTCAGTGAAAGGCAGGTGGTCCAAATTAGCCACGGGGAGCGATTTGTAGCACTGCCCTTTGGGGACTGTATCACTGGGTATAACTGCTGCAGCCTTATTGCAAAGAGCTGCCCTCTCCACTGGAACATCCAGCAGGCCCAGACATCTCTGAGATGCCATGAAATGATCTTAGAAATGCTCATTCTTCTCACTGGCCAATTTCCTCTGGTGCTGTTGGAGAGGCTTTCAAAAGGCTTTACAGAGAATGAGTTCCACAGGCAGAAACCTCCTCCTAGCCAATATCCACTTTAAGCAAATCCTAAAGTTTGGGGATACCCAGTGCAAATTTTTTTTTTAATTTAGACAGTAGACCTCCAAGTGGAACAATCAGCTTTTGAAATGCCATCAAACCTAAACTAGACACATCTGCATGACACCCATCATCTAATAACTTTTTTTAATGGCAAGAAACACTGGGGGGGAGGGGATTTGGATTAGAGCAGCAATGCAGTAGAGTGTGTTCAACCCTTCCCCCGTGCTTTTCCTGGTCAGTCCCCCCCCCCACACACACACGCACACAATCATTTGTACGCATGAAACTGCCTTATACTGAATCAGACCGTTGGTCTATCAAGGTCAATATTGTCTACTCTTAACTGGTAGCCACTCTCTCGGGTCTTGAATTAGGGAGTCTTTCACATCATTGTTTTTAGCTGGAGATGCCATACAGAATTTGGGACCAACTGCATGCAAAACAGATTCTTTGTTATGAGCCATAGCATGGCCCCTCCCTGCAAGGGAAGAGGCAGATGTACCATACAGGAATATTCCCTTCCCTTGGGGCAAACAGTAGCTGAGGGTTGTTGACAGGGATTTTAATACATGAAAGACTGCAAAGGCAATGGTTTTTTTACAGAGCTCTCTCCCACATCTTAGGTCCCAGTCCTGATCCTCCCCTAAGCTTCTTATGTCATTAAAAATATAGGGAATCCTGATTATGCTACTTTCCATGCGTATGTGGTGGAGCCAAGACTCCTGTCTCTAAGAAACACAACCTCAGAGCCCCATTTCCAGTGCACGGCAGCGTCCATGTTGTAAGAGCCTTCTCAGCTACAGCTGGAAGTCACTTGGTAGCTGAGGGTTGTTGACAGGGATTTTAAAACATGAAAGACTGCTAAGGCAATAGTTTTTTTACAGAGCTCTCTCCCACATCCAGTCCTGATCCTACCCTAAGCTTCTTTTGCCATTAAAAATATAGGGAATCCTGATCATGCTACTTTCCATGCGTATGTGGTGGAGCCAAGACTCCTGTCTCTAAGAAACGCAACCTCAGAGCCCCATTTCCAGTCCACGGAGCAAGTTGTGCTGGACTTTGGATCCCAACAGCAGCGTCCATGTTGTAAGAGCCTTCTCAGCTACAGCTGGAAGTCTCTTGGATGATCTAAGCAGTTAGAGTAGTATTTGAGCACTCAGATCATACTGCCGTGCTGCAGAGGTCACTTCTTGTGGACAACCTAATCTCATGCTGCTACCCTGAGGAATGAGAGAACTCGGCACCATGACCCCAAAGGTATCTGTGACTATCCATGAAGGTGGCCTGGAGTTCTGTTGGCTGGATCTCTGCATGCTTGAACTTGGTGTGCCATATAACAACAAAATAGATATGCAAAGAGAATCATGGAATAAAGGTTCAACAAAAGGAGGGGGGAGTGATATATAATCAAAGACATTATATTGCAAAAATTATATGTACATTCTACTTAAGTGCAAATGTCCAACACAGTCCTGTTCACCCCAAACAACAAAGTATCAGTGTAAATTGAATTCCGTCACCTCTTTGTTGATTTAAATATCCTGATTGTTGTTGCTTTGATCCTATTTGTTTGCTTGCATAAATAAGTTCAACAAACAAAATGTGATGCTCCAACATTCTCTGGAATGCTAAACATTCAAGGTTGGTTATTCAGTATCTCTCAACACTTATCTCCGGTAACACAAGCCCGATGACAGGCAGCTAGCCTGAAAGGCTTTCAAGGTTCTTTTTAAAGTCAGAAATATATTTCTCAAATCAGAGTCCTTTTGCAACCAATGTATTTCAAAGTATCAGTGTAAATTGAATTCCGTCACCTCTTTGTTGATTTAAATATCCTGATTGTTGTTGCTTTGATCCTATTTGTTTGCTTGCATAAATAAGTTCAACAAACAAAATGTGATGCTCCAACATTCTCCGGAATGCTAAACATTCAAGGTTGGTTATTCAATATCTCTCAACACTTATCTCCAGTAACACAAACCCGATGACAGGCAACTAGCTTGAAAGCCTTTCAAGGTTCTTTTTCAAGTCGGAAATATATTTCTCAAATCAGAGTCCTTTTGTAACCAATGTATTTTTTCAAAATTGCATCTTTAGATAACAGTCAGTGTTTCAAAGCAACAACAATCAGGATATTTAAATCAACAAAGGATGGAATTCACTTTACACTGAGACTTTGTTGTTTGGAGTGAACAGGACTGTGTTGGGTATTTGCACTTCAGTAGAATGTATATATAATTTTTGCAATATAATTTCTTTAGTCATATATCAGGCTTTTTCCCTTCTTGATGGAGAATGCATCTGTATCCATGGTGCCAAAAGATTGAGTGAGCTCCCATCTCTGGCCCCAGCTTCTGCCAATTTAGCAGTTTGAAACCAAGAAATTGCAAGTAGATAAATAGGTACTGCTTTGGTAGGAAGGTAACAGCATTCCATGCACCTCGGCATTTAGTCATGCCAGCCACAGGACCACAGAAACATCTTTGGACAGTGCTGGCTCTTTGGCTTGGAAACGGAGATGAGCACCGCACCCTAGAGTCAGACTCAATTAGCTTTCGAGCAAGGGAAACCTTTACCTTTACCTTTTAGAATGTATATATAATTTTTGCAATATAATTTCTTAGTTACCTATCACAGTGTTTTTTTCCTTCTTGTTATAACAACAAAATAGCCTTGTTGCAGAATATTGGGAAAGGGATTGGAAGTAAAATTGTCTCCTTGATACCTTTGTCTGGTGTGGCTGCATCTGGAGTACCATATAGAGTTCTGGCCATTCCAATCCCAAAATGGGCTTTATGGAATTGGAGAAGGTATAGAACTGGGTAACTGATATGACCAAAGGTTGGGATACTTTCCTAATGAGGAATGCTGAGGGCTCTTTAATTTAGGGAAAGTAACTAAGGGGGATGTGATAGAGATTTAGATTTAGTGTGAAGACAGCAGATAGTAAAGTTCATCCTTATAAAACATTCAGGCTCCCATTTAATGAAATAAGCTGGCACTGTTCAAAAGGTGCAAAAAAAGGTTTCTTTCCATAATGCAGTTTTTTAGAATTCACAGCTGCAAGGTTTGGTGACAGCTGCTAGCCTAAGGTGGATTTAAAAAACATGAGCAAAGAGATTCGCATTCATAGACGTGTCAACTTTCATGAGAACTTTCATGTTCTGCAACACTGCACCTTTATTTTATTTTTATGCTTTTTATTTGTACTCTTTTCTTCTTCGTGTGGACCCAGAGTGGCTTATCATATTGTTCTCCCCTCCCCCAGTTTATCCTCACAATGACAACTTTGTGAGGTAAGTTAGGCTGAGAGACTGTGACAGACCCAAAGTCCCAAGCAAGCTTTTATGACAGAGCAGAGATTCAAATAGGGGTGTACCAAGTCCTAGTCTGACATTCTAATCACTGCACTACACTACACTGACTCTGAAACCAATGGTGGGGCAGGGGGCTATTGTCTCCATGCTCTGCTTGTAGGCTTCTTCAGAAACATTTGGCTGGTGACTACTGGGGAAAGGATGCTGGACCCTTGTTCTTATTCAGCATGATTCCTGTATCTTAGCCTAGCTAAGCTATTTTGCATCTGCGATAAGGAGCAGTCCTGTGTTTGATGTACACAGGATTTTCCTTAAAAAAAACTAGAGACATCTCTTCTCCCTGCAGCATCTCTAATGGGGTGCTTCCTGCTTATTCCTCACGGCATGCAATAATCAAAGGATGTTTTTGTTCCCACTCGCAACACAAAGTAATGGTTGGAAGCCTGAGTTGGAAGCCTCTAGTCCCAGTTCAGCTATAAACTCTCATGGTTTCAGCTCAGTCACTGTCTCTCAGGATGCTTTGGAGCCAGGAGGTTGAACTTGTCTGGCTTTTGAGTCCTTCCAGCTCTGTGGTCCTGACTGTGCCTCTTGTTCTAGTGAAAGAGGAGCCCCACGATGAAGAAGAGCCCCCACCTGCTCGCAAACCATCTCTTGCGAAGGCGCCCCCTCCCTTCCCCCAGGACGTGTCCATGGCAGAGCTGCTGCAGAAGCTGAGCTTGTGCAAGGAAGATGAGTTGCTGTTCTTGCAGCTGCCGGATACACTGCCAGGGCAGTCTCCCACCCAGGATACCAAGCCCATCAAGACCGAGGTGCAAACTGAGGATGGGCAGATGATGATGATAAAGCAAGAGAAGAGCCAGGTATGTGACTAGAGAGGAATATGTAGTCCAGGTAGAGGAAGTGGTATCATAGAACTCGATGGACTTTCGCTGCTTATATTGCCAAACAAAGGGCCCTAGGAAGGACTCTGTCTGAAGTTCTGAAGGAGTTCAGAAAAGCTGCAGGATGTGGTATTCGGCATGGGTGTTAGCTTTCTAAGGGCATTGGCTACTTTTAAAACAATTAACATGCCTTCTATACAAATATATATTTTGAAAGTGAGCAGGCATTGACTGATGACAAGCAAAATGCAGAGTAATATTTTTCATTAGGACAAGCAAAAGGAGCACAACATAGAATGCAAGCTGATTGGTCCTTACAAGTTAAAAGTATTACATGGCTTTTAAAAAAATTTTTTGCTTCGGATCAACACAATTGTCTGTTTTGGGGACCTGCAGCAATTCCTCTGGCTTCTGCTGCAAGATTTCCTGTGGCAGAGGTTTCATCAGTGCCCTGATAGGTCTTGTTCTGCCCCAGGGCAAGCAGAATAAATTATGCAAAATAAGAGTTCACATACATTTAACTTATCCTGGTCTCAGGATTCTAGCTGGGCAACTTGGGTTCATGATTTTGGTATATTAAGCACAGTGTACAAGTCATACTGATGAAAGGCCAGTAAAGGCACAAGAAACCTAGATGTCGCTTTGCATTTCTTCCCAGCTTCCCAGGACGCAAAAGGTCAGCTCCCCCCAAATATAGGAGCTGCTTGTAACCCGCCCCCGCCCCCTTTCTGTCTTTTCAGGAAGCTAAAGAAGCTGAGAACATCTGCACCCTGGGGGACCTGTCAGAAGGGCAGGTGGGGAAGCTGCTGGTCCGCAAGTCAGGGAAGGTGCAACTCGTGCTGGGCAGGGTGACCCTTGATGTGACCACAGGGACTCCCTGCTCCTTCCTTCAGGTATGGCTGGCGCAGAAAACATCTCTGTTGTACTGTCCTAATCAAGGCAGTAGGCGGCTTTCCTTCAAAGTTCTCATCCTCTACCAGTGGGAGATGAGCAACAGCAGAGAACAGTTCTTGCCCTGCTTATGATATGGGCTTCCTGGAGGCATCTTATGGGCCCAGTGTGGGCTGCAGTAACTTGAAGGGAAACTTGGTCTGTATAACTGTAAGCAGTTAAAGTCAATTTCACCCATTACATTCTTAGAGGAACATCTGAAAAAGTGAATTGCGACTTTGGTAAATGATTAGTTGCAAATGCTTGTCTTGGACAGGTGTGCTAATCAGCCAGCCAGCATTAGTTGCAGCTCTTGGTCAAGTGTAAACTGGATGCTAAACCTGGATTTGCTGGCTGTGTAATATGTGAAATGTTCTCAAAGACACTCTTCAGTGACTCTTAGGAGATCACTTGTATTAGAGTTCATTGAGCAGGGTACCAAACTTGTGTGTATAGTGTCAGTCGTGAAGGGGATGTGGGTGTATAAAACACACTTCGTGCCCTGATCTGGATAACCCAGGTAAGCTCGATCTTGTCAGATCTCAGAAGCTAAGCAGGGCTGACCCTGGCAAGTACTTGGAAGGGAGACCTCCAAGGAATACCAGGGCTGGGACGCAGGGGCAGGCAATAGGAAGCCACCTCTCTGAAGTGTCCAGGCCCCAATAGGGGTCACCAGAAGTCAGTCATGACTTCCAGGCATATACACATACAAACAAACACTCACCAAAAAAAATACACTTCATGCATCTGACAAAGCAGGCTCTAATCTTGCACCATGATATATCCGTCTAGGCTTCGGTGTATCATAAGAGTCTTCATTGTTCTTGTTGCAATAGATTCATACAGCCACCCTTTTGGAATCTGTTATCAAAATACATATAAATGAGGCCTTCCCTACTCAGGCTGTTTTTCTTGGCCAATACCACAGTTTATGAATTCATAATTGACAATATCATAACTGACATAATGCATAGATGCTTATGCCCCTGTTACAAAATGGTCTGTATGAAGTACGCTTCTCTGTCAGTAATTTGGAACAAGTTTTTTTCAAATCCCATTCGAAGCAGGAGCCTCCAAGCACTTCAAAAGATTTGGCCGCCTACCTGCCCAGTGAATCTCCATTGAGTATCCTAGGCTACTCCTAGAGAAGTCACAAGAGAAGGGTTGAGGTTTTCCTGAGGGAAAGGATAAGAATCACTACATGCCTGTTTCCCTGTGTCCCATCATGAACTGTAAGACTGGCAGAGAAGCACCTCTGTCACCATTGTGTGTCAAGTTAGACTGTCGGGGCAGGACAAGGGTTCTCTGCAACTAGAATTTGCTTTCTCCTAGTGGTTTATTAAGAGTCCTCGCAGGTCCACCTCTGCAGGGGAAAAAATACCCTTAGTCAACCATAGGTGTGTGTTGATTGCAGCATTACGGAGGTTTTGGTTATAACAGTGTTTTCTCTTGGTCTTGGAAGGAGCTGGTGTCAGTGGGCATTGGAGACAACAGGAGTGGTGAGATGATCGTCCTGGGCCATGTGAAGCACAAGCTGGTCTGTGCCCCAGACTTTGAGTCCTTGCTGGAACACAAGCATCGGTAAAAAATGAGCCGTTGCAAAGTCTTCTGGCTCTTCCTGAGGGGGTCTTACAAACAGCAGTATCTTTGGCTGCCCAGAAATGCCTTCTTCCTGGACTGATGGATGAAGACTTTCCTAGAGAAGTCTGGCTGCACTGCAGTGAACTGGAACAGCATGGCATTCTATTGCATTTGGGCACCGAGAGCTGAAAAGCCTCTTGCAGGTGACACTCGTTAAGGGCAGTGGAAACCAAGGGCTGGTGCAAAGACCTAGCAGCTCTGGTTAGCAGGACCTTTACTTACATGGTGCAAGACTTAATGTTGGCACAAGCAATCCCAAGAGCAAAAACCAGTGGGGGTATTTGAGACTTGGAGCTGAGATCGGCTGCTTGGTAGCTGTTTAATGCAGATGGAGGAGGAGTGGGCTGCCCCCATTCCAAATCCCTGTGTAAGCCCTTAGGGTGAGGCCTACTCCTTGTGCTTTCCTAATGAGTCCTTGCAGCCGCACGCTGTAGCTGTAGCGAAGGAAGATGAAGTGTTAGGTGTGTGGGCGTATTCCCAAGAAGCAAAAACGACATGGTCCCCCAAGCCATTCTCATGATGTACTCCCTAAGTCTTGAAGCCTGAGTCAGATTGGACATTTGTGTTTCAAAATTTATTCCTATAGCTTTTTCCCCCTCCTTTGAGCAGAGGCAAAACTTTTGTGCTTTTTAAAAAAGTCTGCTTTCCAGGCCTTGGGACTTTTGCAGTGCCCACGTAATGTGTGGCAAAAACCACGCCAGGCTTCCTGGACGTATTATGAGATGATACAAAGATAAGCCAGAGAGGGAGGAGTCGCCTTGCTTTTTGCTCCCGTCTGTCTGGAATTGCTCAGCGCCATCTTTGATGGTGGGAATGGTGACGATGCAGACGACAACACTGGTCTAGGCTTATTTTCCCTATTTTTGTCCTACTGTCCAGGCATCACGCATGCAAAACAGATTGTCTCTTCCAGCAGCTGGGAGAGGGGAGGGGTGCATGCAGGAAATTGTGCCAAAATAAATTTATCACTAATCATCTCTTGGAGATGAAAAATTGTGCTTATCTGCAGCCTGGTTTTGGTCGAGGGCTGCCTTGCTTTTCCATTTTAGCCCAGTTTTTGTTGTGTGTTTTAATCATTGGGCATGATGACACCAAAGCTGTGGTTGGCTGGCTCCTTATGGTACCCAGGAAAAGAAGACAGTCAGTGGTGCCAAATGCTCAGGCTTTGGGTATATGGCAGAGCAACCACTGTGATCTATAGATAGTTTTGAGGATTTTTTTTTAAATTCTGAGGGATTTTTGAGGAATCACATGGAAACAGCGGAGTTTGTGACTAAATATGGGTATGACTTAAAGCCAATTCCTTATTTAAGCACACTGTTCTTAAACAGGAGCAGTCTCATCAAGCAAGACAAGGTGCTGGAGTATCCACAGCCCAAATCTCCAGCATGTTTGTATTACTAAATAGCGCCATCAGGTGTTCTCATTTCGATCTAGGTGCAAAGAGGGCTTACTTCTTCTCCACTATGCTGTTTTCCTGACCTCAATTGATCCTCCTTGAAACTGCTGTTTGTCCCACTGAGGCAAAGCAAATAGGAATGTGGAGTGGGGGAATCTGTTACGGAAAGGTTCAATCCATTGCTCTGCCATACCATGACTCACATCTGAAAGGCTGCTAGTAGCAATTTAAAAATGTGTGAAATCTCTTCACAGGGTTACTCTGAACATTGTTTGATTGGCCCATGATTGTTGCAGTGCAGGGGTAAAGTTGTTGGACTCTGCCAGGTGTCAATAAAATCACTCTGAATACAATGCAAATGTTTGAACTGTGTTGTGTTCCTAAGCATTCTCTGGTTCCTGATGTTTGTGGTCATGGATGCAGATCGACTGAAAGCTGTAACTTAACAGCCAAATACTGCAGATTTTTCACAAAAGTACTAAGCGTCGTGCAGATTTCAACATTTATTCAGGTATTAGCAGATTCTTTGAAAATAAATCTGACATTTTAAGATGATGGATCTGTAGTGATAACAGGATACTTGAAACTGTACAGCCTGCACCAATTTGGAAACTTAATTATAGCTGCAAAATCATGGAATAGTAAAGGACAGGGTGAATAGAATTGGATATTAACGGACTGCAAGCAGAAGTGTAGTAATTGAGGCCAAAGACAGAGCTATGAAGAGCAAAGAATGCCCTAGTAGACCCTGGAAGCCCCAATCAGGACGTTCAGCTGACATTTCCTGGACTTTTTCTTGACACCTTCAGAATTAGAAATTTGTTCACCATATGTATTTAGCACTGAAAACCTCTTGGCTGATCTTTCCTTGCATGTAAGAACCTGAGCCACAATTAGGATTTTGGAGCAGGCCATTAAGTCAAATGGCATAAGTTCTTTCTATCTGCTTTCTTGAATAATTTTATATATCTCCTACCATATTTTCCCTTACCTGTTTTTTTTTTTCTAAACTGAGATGTCCCAATAACTTTAGGGAATGATCTCTAACTTTGTCCTTTCCTGTACCTTTTTGAGCTCTACATGCTTTCCAAAATGGGATAACCAAAACAAGCCAGAGGGGTGATGTAGCAGCCACTTTCAGATTCAGGGAAATGTTTTATGAATAACCCCTGGTGTGCAAACAAAGCTGTATGCGGCCGGGTACTAAGAGGGCTGGGCAGAAGAAAAAGGTGGAAATTGAGGCTGCAGCAAACTAGAGCTTTGTAAGAGGCAGAAAAAAAGAAGGTACCAAAAGGAACATGTGCTTCGGGAAGGCAACGGGGATGTTAGTAATGGTGGATGGATTGTGGAGGACCTGAGCGGCAGTTGTTTGGGGGTTTCATCCTGAGAAGGACCAAGGGAAGAAGTAGGAAATAAAAACAGTTATTTCCCCCCTTCTACTTGGTTCATCTGTTCTTTGCTGTTGAGAGACAAGTAGAGAATAACTTAAGGATTATTAATGGGTCAAACTGAATTTGGCAGCATCTGCTGTCACCACACCTCTAAACTGTTACCTGCATGACCGCAGTGTTTCATCTGATGGTGGCCACTAATTTGACTCTGGATTATCAGTTTAGTTCAAGGGCATTTCAGGTATCTCAATCCTTCTGTAGTTTTTGAGTAGCCAGTTTGCAATGTGTTTCTCTCTGTACAGGTATCAGCAATAGGGCTTATACTTTTATAACATGGAAGGTACTGAACATACCACGTGTATTTCTCTCAATTTGGCTGCTTCCTGGTTTCCCCACTTCTTTCAAGTGTGGATGGTTCTGCATATCTAGAAGGACCAACAACGTGCCCTTCTATAGTAGTAATAAATGGCTAAGTGAAAAGAGGGGTGCAATACTCCAGAGAAAAGCTTTTAAATAGGGTTCATCTGTGCTAATGAGGTTGGGTTTATTGCTTGGTCCTTCACAGAGAAACTTTCTTCTCCCACTGAGTCATGTGCAACTGCAGGCGAATAGCTGGACAACGTTCTTTAAAATTGTGTATGATGTCTTGATTTCTATTTCTGTGGCCTTTAGCGCTAGATATTTTGAGAATGGCCCAGTATGGCCCACCATTTAACATAATCTCCACAGGGGCTTTAGTGCCCTTTCCAGCATTCATGGCTAGTGACTTAGGTTCTTCCTTTTGACAAACTCCAGATCGGGAAGGTACAAAACGAAAAGTGTCCCATTTGGAAGATGTGCTGGTGGTCACTCACTGTGCATGTTTATTGGCACAAGTTGTGATGTAATGGGCCATCTCAAAAGCCTTCATGTTTAATGTTCCTCCCTGTATACCCTTCTGGCCAATCAGGATTAGGCACACAGAATTGACCAGGACTACAGTGATGGCATGGGTGCAGCTCTCTCCATTGTCACGATAAAGCTTGGTCCGGAGATCCATACTGTATTGATGGGCATCTGTATAGAGATTATCACGTATGACGAAACACTTGAGGCCACCAAGGGTCAACCCTTGGGTAAGCAGGTTTTCTCTGTTCCTGCCAAGAAGAGCTTGGATCTCTGGCTTGGTCAGTTTCGCCAAGATGCCCCCTTGGTGGGCAGCTAAGAATTGCTGTTGAGCTACTGACAGAACTGCTGCATCCCAGCACAATCCATCTTTCATCAAGCTGTTGATGTGTTCCTGCCAGACAGTCATCTGGTGATCAAGAAGGCTTTGCAGTTAAGTCCGCCCTGCAGCCTGTTCAGAAGACGGGGAAGAGAGTTCTCCTTTGAGCTTCCCTGTGGATGTTAGGCTAATATTCCACTCCAATAATCTCCAGGTTGGACAGATGAACAGAATCTATGAAAATAGCTTTTTGTCCATCACACAATGTGCTTTGTCTCAAAAGAATTATTTCAAGTTAAGAGGAGGTGAGGATGCTGATGCTTGCTCATAAGTGCATTTCCTTCCAATGCTGGCAACTATTCCCAAGGGTAGCTCAAAGTGGAGGCTTCTGGATTCCCAAATCCTTCAGTAGTGTCCTCAATACCTGGTAGCTACTGAAAGCTTGGCATCTTTTCATGGACTTTACCTTAGAAACCTGCTAGAATTTTGGTAGCAGTAAGATTCACTGGCTTTGATGTCATAAAGAGAATTTGAGCAGGTCGAGTCAATCCTTTGTGTGTGTTAGTATGATTTTCTTGATGGTCTTTGTCTGAACTTCTCACTGTGTAGTCTTCTGATGGCCTTTGTCTGAACTTCTCATTGTATTCCATACAGACAACCTGTTTACCATTCACTGGCATCTGATGTGTGATCAAACTCTCCTTCCCAGTTCGTAGGGTCGTGCAGGCTTGCCTCAATGAAGTGTGCTGAATCGCCACAGTACATTGTGGTCCATATGGACCCAGTGTATGTCTCAGTAATTTCAGCCTTTCAGTCCATTTGTAAATCGACTAAGCTCTTTTTTTAATGCTTTATGAATGATCCAATTTTAGGTGCTTCAGATAAAAGGAAGAATCCAGAAACCACTGACCCCTCCCATCGGCCTTCTCTTGTTTTGAAGTGAGAGACTGCACTAATAAAAAGTTACAGGCTTTTCCACTTCTGTATTTAAACATCTTGAATGCTTTATTTATGATCGCTTACTGTTTAAAGACGAAGCTGCAAAAGGAATGATCTACTACTGCTGTAGCTTCTTAGAATGAGAGATATTGAGAAACACTGAGTAACACAAAGTTCTGGATTCTGGCACGGCCTAGTGGAAGAGAACCAGTAAAGAGAAGCAGATCGATGTAGAAGGTGGCTCCGCTCAGCATTACAGGGTCCGAGAAGGCGGTAGGCACAGCGGCCTGGCCCAGGCTGTAAGTGGACTGCCATGCAAGGTGTTGGCCCCTCTCTGGGTCTGGTACAATAAACAGAAAGGACGTGAGGCAGGCAGGGAAGGGGGACGCTGAGCACGGACAGCTTCCTTTGGTGGAAACTGAGCCTGTTGTCATCTAGATGGTTTCAAGGTGACGATGAATTCTCAAAATGTGGCAAGTCAATTTGAAGAAATGGATACATCTGACACCCAGTGGGGATGGTTTTACTTGGCTGAATGTGGGAAATGGCATATGTTTGACACTGATTCCAGTACTCACTGTTCAGTTAGCACAGAAGACATTGAAAGGAGCTTCAGAATGAATCCACAGGGCTCTGTTTGCTTCACAAGCGCAAAATTTACTTACACATTAGACTTTTCAGGGATGAAGCAGACCAACCTAACAACTGGAAAACAACGTCCCATAAAACGGGCTCCATTTTCCATCACTGCTTTCAGTTATGTCTGCGAAAACCAGTCTATCCCTATACCTTCACACTGGGAGAATGTAAACTCTGAAGAACCTTACCAGCTTATTCCTTTGCAAAAGCAGACAAAAGAGTATAAAGATGTTGCTAGTCTTTTTGGGAAAACAATGGAAGGCAGTTGGATTAAAGGAATACAGAGAATTCAGAATCTAGACTTGTGGGAATTTTTTTGCAGGAAAAAGAATCAGTTAAAGAAGAAAAGAGGCGTCTCTTTCATTAATGAACATATGTTGTTTCATGGCACCAGTGGCGAGTTTGTGGAAGCCATCTGCATTCATAACTTTGACTGGAGAATCAATGGCATGCATGCTGCTGTATATGGAAAAGGGACGTATTTTGCTAGGGATGCATTGTATTCGAGCCGCTTCTGCAAAGACGACATGAAGCACAGCAGTACGTTTCAGATTCATGGTGTTGATCTGCAACTTCATATGTTCAGGAAGCATAAAGTGATGTTTCTTGCTCGCGTATTGACTGGAGACTATATTACTGGGGACTCAAAATACGTGAGGCCACCTTCAAAAGATGGGAGCTTTGTAAATCTGTATGACAGTTGTGTGGACAACACATGGAATCCGAAGATTTTTGTTGTCTTTGATGCCAACCAGATCTATCCGGAATATTTAATAGAGTTCAGCTGAGACTTCGGGGGGGCAGATCAGTTGTATTCACCCCCTTTATTTCAGGTGGCCAATTACTTCTTGTAAAGAAAAGTTCTTTAGCAGGTTTAAAAAAAAAGAAAAGAGAAGCAGATCCAGCAATATGCTTTAATGTTGTCCTTTTTATTTCTAGTTATACTACTTCATATGTGCAGTTGGTTGCTAACCACAGAATTAAAGAAACCCTCTCTTTGCTGGTGATTTCCTTTGCACTTTTGCACTAAATGGCTCCCTCCCCTAAAGAAAAGCTGTGCCATTTTCCTTGTACATACATATTCCTTGTTCTTTATTAACATCTCCAACCCCTCTCATTTGACATAAAACCTTCCTCCCTTCCGAGTGTCCTTCACTTCCACCCTACCCCACATCCCATCCGTGTGTTTCAGCCCAGTTTCCCTTGCTCCCATCTATGCAGCCAGTGCCTTTCAGTCTCCACCTCAGCCTTTACTTCGAAGCTAGTAAAAAAGCAGGGAATCATCAGCATAAATCCCTGCCTTTCCATACTGGGTTTGATGATCTTCAATGTATTGGCTTAGTAGGCCAGAAGTTCAGTCTAAAGCAAGTTTTTTCAGAGCTGACGTGGCAGATGCAGCTCCCTTGGACTCTTTCATCTTCTCTAGGGCAAGCAGAAGGTCAAGCTGGGTAAGTGGCCGTAGCTGTTCCTCTTCCAGGTCACTGGACATGGACACACACATGGACACACACAAAAGAAAAACCAGACAGGGCTCATGGAATAATGTTTGAAATAAGGTAAGAACTTCTCAGCTTCCTGAGTTTTCTTGACCATGAGTCCTTTGCATTTGCAGTTACTAAAGATAATGTTTTTGCCAATGCCCTTCATTGCAGCTGCAGCATCTACCCACACCCTGTTTGTTTGAATATGTGCCATTTTTAGAACTGCAAAGTAGAAGAGAAGTGGCAGTATAATTATGTGACTCTCTCATTAATTTCAAGAGGAGATTATCACGTTCTTGCAAGTCATGCCAGTAAGGCATCATTTAGCAATCCTTGGGGTAGAAGACATATCAAGTAACCATAACCTGAATGATACCATTGGTTCCCCCAGCTCTTCATTGTCTCCTATGATTGGCAACAGCTCTTCAGGGTCTCGGTCAGAGAAAGGTGTCCTTTAAGTGGAGATGCCAAAATGTTCTACAGGCAAATCATCTACTTCAGGAAGCAGTATCCTACCTTACTACTGTACCATATTCATCTCTGTTCGCATGGACCTATGAACATATGAAGATGCCTTAGGCCAAGGCCTTCTTTCCCTCCCCCCCTTCCGCATTTTTGGCTTTGAGTTCCTTCTCCCCCTGCCCAGAAAATGGCCAGGTAGTCCAGAACCAGGATACAAAATGTACAGGATGCCATCTTGGATCTCTTTATTCTGGTTCTCTTAGTTTTTATCAAATTGTAAATTGAATTGTACTGTTTTGTATATTTTTACGGCATTATGCCCCCCTCCCCCCGTACATCAGCCAAAGCCCAGCATAATTGGGGACAGGGCGATTAACAAATTGAACTAAGAATAATAGTACTAATATTGGCCCGCTTAGCTTAGTGTTGTCTACCCCTCTTGGCAGTGGCTCTCCAGCATCACAGGCAGAAAAAGATATTTGCTAGCACTTGAGGCCCTTTTTGTAGTGAGTGGGGATAGAACCTAAGAAGTGTAAAACGTGCTCTACCTCCCATAGTGCATCATGGCTCTTCCCATGTGGTGTTGCTGAAAGCCTGGGCCACAGAGGAAGAATCCTTGCTTCAGTTTCTTCCTGTACTAATGTTGCTCCAGTACCAAGATGAGACAACAGCTTGACCTCCCACCATGTGGCCTTAAATCTCTACCATTATCTAGAAAACAAGGCTGGACAGATGAAGGTTTGTTACATATTTCATGATGTCAAAAGCTGATGAATCTAGGGAACTGGGGTCCAGCGGCTTCTGGCGACAGTGCCAGGAAAGGTCAGGTGCAAGGAGAGAAGGGCTGTGGGATGAACAAAGGCTCACCTGTCCTCCTCGCTGTCTGTATCGTGGAGCATCTGTGCAATCTGCTTCATCTGCTGCCTGCGAACATAATCGCGTACCCTGTGCATGGCAGCATCCCGGCACAATTCTCGCAGGTCGCTGCCCGAATAACCATTTGTTTTCTCAGCCATCTCCTTCAGGTCCACAGCATTGCTTAGCTGTTCCAAGAGCAAAATTCCCCTCAGAGTTATAATGGTTGGCCCATACTTGCTCCCTGCACTGTCACAGCGTTGCTACACCTAGGCAGAGGGTCAGGTCTTCCTGCTTCCCTGTTCTGCCTTCTAAGGAATGAAAAACTTCTCATTAATCTTTTGGCCCTTCCTCCTCCTACTGAACCCTTATGCTCTCAGCAGGCACAAAATGAGTGGCGATATGATCTTAAGGGTTTAGATTCCACACTTCAAAATCAGGCTGACCTCACAGATACTCCCTCTCTGCTGGGGACCTTGAGAAATGTAGTTCTGTGAGAGGAGTGAGTGATCTTTAACAAAATTCTCAGTACTCATCATGTGTCCACATTTTCTTTGTGAAGGAAGTTCACTTAATTTTTTTCAGGCCTAAATTCCCTGGATTCCTTTAGAGGCTGAGTTATTTGAACTCTTAAGGGATTTTTTCCTTTGTTAGTGTTAGCACATGAGCTTTGTTTTAATGTTGTAAAATAACTGGTAGTTATTTGTACTTTTTGATTCTAACATCATTTTTGTAGTTTTAATGTTATGTGCTGCTTTGAAACCAAAACAGTGCCTAACAAAAATACCTGCAAATATATCAATTACAGTTCCTGGGACTCTTCTGGGAAAACTTATATACATTTGTGAGATAGACTTTTCAAATCTATAAAAGTATTCTTGACCAATACTGTTGTGTTCCCCGCTATCCAATCTAGTTTACGGTTTATCTCTGTCTGGTGAAGCTACAGTTCTGAAACAGAAAGGGGAAGCTGGGGGGGGGAGCAAGACTCACATTTTCTCCAGACAAAATGAGTTTCAGAATATCCTGCCGTTGCCTCTGTGTCTGAAGAAGACAGAAAAGAGCATGGGATTGAGAGACTATTAGAACTGGAGGCTGAGAAAATAATGACAAGCTAATATTTTTGCTGAGTCCCTAGAGTATGCAGAAACCTGCATTTGGTCTGTGAGTAGCCTTGTTTTGTTGTCCTGCTGCTTGAGAGTAAACTTGATGTTGCTGTGCCTGTTGAAAGGAGTGATACTGCTTCTATACTAGAAGGCTCCATTTAGTTATCATTACTAATAGGTCTCCCAGTGGCTTTCATTAACTGTTCTTAAAATTCCAGTTGTCATGACCATCGCCTGTTTTTACACCAGGCAAGCCTCCTAATTAGGCTTGCTCAGGGGACATGGGAGAAAGAGGCAAGATTGGATTTTGTCACTGCAGATGGAGGAACATGAGGAATCCTTCCGTAAGTTAAAAATGCCCTGCAAATAGAACACAAGCAGAGCAGGGGGGCAGGTCCTTTGTCTCTGCTGGACTAGTTTTCGCATTGATTTTTTGTTTCATGCAAAGGAACATACAAAATAAGAGTCGATTTGCTGTAGTTTGAAGAGGTGTTGTCCATTCTACTACCTCATCCTCCTGCATATGTGGCATTTTAAAATGTGTGTGTTGACTATCCCTTGAAGTGAATGTATGATCTTGTCCTTGGAGCTGTCAATTTTGGTCCACCATTTCTGTTGCTTGGAATTATTTTTATCCTGATTTGTCTGATTTTTCTAGATGGGGGCTGCTTCTTAAACAACATCCCAGATACGTGCAATTGTTTTTATTATTATTATTATTATTCTTAAGGGTTTCTCCCTATTAATTGCTTATAGCAGGATGAACAATTCTTTTAATGCCAGGGAAAGCAGATTTTTAGAGGAACTTAGCGTCAAGAAAACCATTTGAAGGAAACAGATTTTTGAGTCTGAGCCTTGCAAGCTTAATATTGGGCAGCTTTAGGAGGGAATAAGTCTGGATGGTGACTGGATTTAGGGGAGAGCAGTAAAATTTACTTACAGGCAGACCAATCTGGAAGGTTGTGGGCATCCTCCGCAGGATGGCAGGATCCACATCTTGGGGCCTATTGCTTGCTCCCAGCACCATCACCTGGAATGCAACAAAGCGGCTAGTTAGATTGTCACCTGATAAAAGAAATGTTAGTTGATTAACTGCATGAGATTTGACTGCTGCATGAGATTTGACTGATGCTCAATTTGCATATGCTTGTATGTGGATATAACAAAAGGTCTTTGTGTTTGACTAGGATACTGGAAAACTGTATAGAGATCCCCACTCAGTAGCAAAGCTCAGGCAGGGCTAAAAATGGGGATTTGTATATTGGTCTCTCCCCAGTTACAGCCCAACACTCTAAACCCAACACCACAGTGGCTCTCTAAGTCATCACTGTCCAGGGAAGGGGAATTTAGCAGGCCAGGGAAGAAGTTACCAGCCATTTGGGCTTTGCCCTCACAGCTGATCAGTGTAAATGTAATAAGATGGTGTCAGGGCTGGAACCTGACCCCTTGTGAGAGCTGGAGTTCCCACAAGAAGCCGGGACAAACAGCGAGGCATGTGCAGTGTGCCAGGCCTTCTTCAAAAGGGTGAGGGAGGCTGGCCAAGGAGGGCAATTTACCCTCTTGTTACTGGCTGTGTGGACAGGCGCCAAAGGAAGGGAGTCGGAGGAGGGTGCTGTAAATGCTCTCCAAGATAGAATTACCAACACTGGGTTGGGAAATTCCTGGAGATTTTGGGAGCGGTGCAACAGAGGAAAAGGCAGGAAAAATTACAGCTGATGGAGGAAAGTGTGCACAAAGCTGCCATGCGGATATTCAGTTGCCTTGCTCTGCCTTGCTTCGTGTCATCTCAACCAACGGCTTCCTGGTAAGTGGTACCTGGCAATTGGGTCCAGTTTCCAGCCCATCCCAAAGGCTCATGAACTCTGCTTTCATCATAGCTGTGGCTTCATGATCAGCATCGGAGCGGTTCCTCAGGAAGGCATCTGCCAAGAGGGATAAAAAGAATGGCTCAGCATTGGACTTCTGTCCTTCTCTGCACTGGCATCTACTTCCACTCCACTAGCACCTTGAAAACATTTTTCTCTTTTGACCTAACCTAAATCTTACATTTTCTTTTCAACAGAAATCATGAAATGCAGCCAGTAGGAGTGTTCAAAAGTCTACTTGTGTCTCCTGTTATAAGATCCCACATTTCTGGCTGTCCTGAATCTCTTTGTGGAACAGGCAGCAAAGGTGCTACTGGAAAGTTGGTTGCAATGGGAAGGTGTTCCATTCACATTTGGAGAATCTGAAATCTCTCAAGTGAGAGAGGATCTCACAGAACTGCATAAGGGGATATTATAAGCTGCCTTCATTTCAGACTTGCTTGCATGTCTAGCAACTAACATATCCTAATGAGAGGAGCAAAGACTGCCATCTTTAAGAAGCCTGGGGATAAGATATCAGGAGCTAATGCAAGTGTACAAAGGTAGGCAGCATCCAGTGTTCACCCAGTCAGCTGAAGCCCATCCTTATTGCCACAATTCCATACATATGCCTATTATTTGGTGGGCATTTTGCTAAATTTTCAGTCGGTTTCAGGCCTGCACAGCTTCTTGCAAATACTTGCTGATGAAGCATGAAATGCAGGTTTAACTCTCAGCCCAATTACAGACTTGATTTAAATCCATTCCTTCCTTTCCCTCAGCATCAGTGTTTCCGTCAGCATAAGAGGAATACTTGCAATACTTTAATGATTTGCCTTTAGATTCAAGAATATGGTGCAATCTGAAATCCATCCTGTTCTTTAAATTCTCCAAACCACACTAAATCTTTCTCTCTATAAAAGGTGTTCATATTGCAAACATTACACATGAGTTATCCCTTGGTCACTTTACTGCAACAACAACAAAAAAGGTAAGGGTTTCACTTGATCAAACGAACACTGACCTAGCACAGTGGTCTGCTTACAACAATGGCACTTCTAGGAAGCCCCTGAGCAAGACCCCAGTACAAGGAAGAACTCAGCATTGTGTTGGGATAAAGGGGCTGAGATGCAACAGAGTTGCATAAAAAATACCCAGTTATCATTTTTAGCAAAGGACTGTAACTGGCATCCTCACTACACATTAATATACAACGCAAAGATAATAAATACATTCAGCTGTGTGATTAAACTTGGGTCTGCCCCAGTCATGTCTGGGGAAAGGACACATTTACTACATTATGGGTTTTTCTGCATGTCTAATATTTATCGCTTCTGTGCCCATACTGTGTCATTGGGATTTTTTTTGTTTTTGCTTTCAAAATGTTCACAAATAAACAGGAGATGCAGTGATGAAATACCAAAGTGATCACTAGAGGATGCAAAACACTTGTGGAGAAGGAAAAAAAAACAACAACCTGAGGCAACACAGGCACACAAACAAGGGTAACAGGCGCAGAAAAGCCCTGAGAAAGGAGAAAGGTGGGTGGGCCTAGAAACAGTCTAGGTAAATCAGTAAACAAGCCCTGCCCTCATTCATGATAGTCTGTCCCCTCGCAGGGCTCTTTTTTTTGCTTTCAAAATGTTCACAAATAAACGGGAGATGCAGTGATGAAATACCATATTGATCACTAGAGGATGCAAATCACTTGTGGAGAAGGAAAAAGGATTGGCTACATTAGGGATGTGTCGCCTAATATGTAGAGGAGTTCCTGCTACAAAAAGGCGGCTTCAGGTACTTTTCTCCTTTATCAAATTCTGCTCCCAGAACAAAGCTGGGATGTGAAAAAAGTGCTTGTGAGGAGAGACTGTGGTGACGCAAGAAGCAAGCCAGAGGAGGGTGCAGCTCCCTTCACCTACATGTTCCATTTCTTTCAAGCTATAACTTTCCCCCTTGTTAACTATTAAAAAGATATAACTATAATTGGGGAAATGAAAGAGCAGGCAGGGATGTAGAAATTACCTATTTCATCTATGAAAATGATGCAGGGTTGGATCTTGGTTCCCAAGGAGAAAACTGCAGCCGTGAGCTTCTGTGACTCTCCATACCATTTGTCAGTCAAGGTAGAGGCTTGCAGGTTTATGAACCTGCATCCCGATGCCTGGGCTGTTGCTTTGGCAAGAAGGGTTTTGCCACAGCCAGGAGGACCATAAAGCAAAACACCTGGTGCAAGGAGAAACTCATTAATTCTCAGTCTCCCCCCTTCCTTGCCAGGCTTTATTCCCCCCCCCATTGTTTTTTTTGCTTGTGTGAAAAAGGAACGTTCTTCACATGAGACTTCAGTAGAAGAGAGCAAGCATCCAGTAGCATCTTAAAGACTAACAACAGTTGTGGTAGGGTATGAGCTTTCATGAGTTACTGCTCACCTCTTCAGATACCACCTTGCTTTATCAGTATGAGACTCCAGTGAGTGTTTAATGAAACCTGCACCAATCTTAACATACAAATGTGACTCATATACTGCAGCTGGTACAACCTGACTGCTTACAGTCCAAGGTAAGCAGCAAAAGCAGAAGCGTTATGTTTCTGTAAAGCTAGGATTTTTTTATTTATTGCTCTGTTCAACACACCTACATGGTTCAAAAATGTCCAGTTCCTTTTTCATGGGGCTACTGATAACAATTTAAAATTTGATAATTTTTTCTCTAGTGGAACAACAAAGATTTTTTTCTTCAAATGCATGTGATAAATAATGAGTTTAAGTTTAAATAATCTTTCATAAATGTGGTTATACTGGGTTTAAATTGAATGTTTATTATTTAAATATTTAAAGTACCTTTCATAAGTGTTGATACATTGGGTTTAACTTGAATGTTCATTTACTTGAATCCTGTTTTAATGCAGATTTCAAATATGGAAATATAGATATCACCTTTATCTTTAAAGAAATAATGCCCACTCAAATTTTGTTAATACAACAGAACACCTGTTAACATTCCACTTCACAAAGTATTGGAGGCAAACACTTTTTATACTGCAAATGCAGAACTGACTCTGTATCCATGCAGACATACTGTGAAACAGTTTTACCTTTCTCCTTCCTAGCTAGCTCTCATAACTGTTTGGGAGAAGACTATCATTCTCAGAAAACTGCTGGGTATTTATTAAGCTGCCATTAAGTAAGGAGCTTTACACCCCTCTATCCATCACTCCTTGGGATCTAGGCTCCAGCAAATGAGTGGAGGCAGATCCTGTCAGAGGTCCAGAAAGGCTTTTGAGGCCCTTAGCCATTAAAAGAAACCTTAGTTGTGAAACGTATCAGCCAAAAAATAAATGTCTTGAGGTCCCTTTGAGTCTGATGCCAAATGGCCCTCCCTCTGACTGGCTGTGAATGGGGTTTTTAAAAGAGGCAAGTCTGAGAAAAGGTACTGAGTGATTTATGACTGGCTCTTCTCCAAGGTGTACCTCGTGGGGGTTGGCAGAGCCTGGAGTGATGGAACAAGTGCCTCTGCTGGAAAGGCAGGATCACTGTGTCCTGAAGTTCGCTGACCACTTCATCCAGGCCCGCGATATCCTTCCAAGAGACCTGAAAATGGAACAGCATTTGGAGCCTTCAGAGATAACAAGAGGACTGTAAGCTACCTGGCAAGGGAAGCCAAATGCTGCATGCTGGCATTTCAGATTTTGGAATTGGCATGTATTCATCCCTTGCATGGTGATGGAGTTCCATTAATTATATGTAAAAAATTCATTTCCATTTTCATTCAATTCATTTTCAGATTTTTGCAATCTCATATCTGCTGATAGCTTTATCCCCCTTTACTCCCACCTTGAAAACTCTCTAGTCTTCATCAGGGGGAACAGCAAGCTCCCCTTCTTACTTGTATGTCCTTCGGGTCCACCAAGTGAGCTGCGATGTTCATCTCATGTTCTGTAAGCTTCACTCCTTCTACTCCAATCTGCTTCATCAAGCGTTCTGCCTGCAGAAAAAAGACAACGGGTTCAGGTCCCACTCTTGCCCTGTGGCTGGCTCAGTCAACACAACCTTTCATTATGGTTCTTCCTAGCTGTTTATTTACACCTGAAACTACTAGAATATGCACAGATTGTAATAGGTTAAACTGCAGTATAGCAAAACTCCACCCCCATTCTTTCTTTCTAGTGTATTTGGAAGATTTTGTATCACGCGATACAGTCAGAGACTGTATGGGAAACAGTTGGACCATTTTATCATGTTCCCCGAATACAGTTTTGGTAGCTACCCATTATCTCCAGATTCAACACTTGTCAGCAGTGACCAGGGGTGTAGTCACACGGTCCATCTGATCGGGGTTCACCACTGTTCTCTCTCGCATTTAAATTTTCTATTCACATGTGCCAATCGGCCTCCTGTGCCGAAGCAGGCTCACTCCCTAAATGCTCCCGGGTTTTCCTGCCCCCAGGGAAAATCAAGTATTTTCCTGGCACTTGCGCTTTGAATGTGCGATTTTGCCCATCTGGACAGCCATCTTTTGCAATTATTGTGATTAGGGCCGCTCTGACCACTCTGTGCGATTTTTTTTTTAACTTTCTGGCTTTGAGTGCTTGAGTAAACAAGTGCTCATCCTGCTTGGAGAAAAGCCCTGCCCGCCGTCCCCCGGCATGGAGGCAGCTTTGAAAGTTTTGGGGCGGGGGGGAAGAGTAAAAAAGACTTTGCCTGACTCCAAAAGGTAATAGAATCAGTGCCAGGGAAATAGATGTGGGGAGACCACCTACAGTCAAGGTGCCACAACAGAGAAGGCCCTGTTTCTTAGAAAACAACAACCAATATCACTCTAGAAGGTGGGGTTGCATAGAATGGAACTTCTGATAGTTACTTCAGTATTGATGGGCCTCATGGGAGTAGATAGTCTTTTATAAGCTCTGTTGTTATTATTCCCTCAAGCTCCAGTAAAATTGCAGCCACTATGGCAAGCTTTTGGTTCCAGGTCAGGCAGTACTCTGGTTCAAATCTTCTCTGTAAAGGTCACCTGGCACTTTTCAAGACCAGCCTCACCCCTCACCCCCAACTTGATACTTTCCTGCCATCACAGAAGGTGGATTACAAAGGATAAGGCAATGCACTAAAAACAGGTGATACCTACAAATAATAAGTGCAGTGGATTACAATCCTGTTCCATCTAAAACAAAAAAGTGCCCCCTGTTGGTGCCACCACCATTTTCATGCTTCTTTAGGAGTTTTTAAAAGGAGGTAGGTGAGGGGAAATTGATAAAGATATCTTAGCCACATCAACTAACATTGATATAAGGGGAAATCGTCTAAAATTAATGATTAGATGGCATTATACTCCTGTTAAATTAGTGTCTCTGAACAATGTTGATGATGCCTTCAGGAGAAAGGCTCGTTCTACCATATAAATGCTCTTCCACCAGGCCAGCTCTTCCACCAGGCCTTCGACTAGGAGCCACCACCAATAACATCAATTATAGTAGTAACATCAATTAACATTAACTGAACTGGAGAATACGGACTAACTATGCCAGATGCCGATGGGGGCCATTTTTTGGGAACATCTATCATAGCCACCGGGTTGTTATTGTCTCCAGCACTTAATTTTCATTTTATTCTATTTTATTGTTGAGCTATGCTTGTCATGTTTGTGTTTTAATGTGGTTTTAACCCTTATCGTAAACTGCCCTGAGCATGCCTGTGGCGGGGAGGGTGAGATAAAAATTGAATAAAATAAATAAAATAGTTCTGAGAGAGACCATATATAAAGTGTTAAGTGAAATCATAGCCCACAGAGTGGAACGCTCATCATTTTAAATTTTATTTGGCCAAATGGAGCACTCATTAGATTAGCTGTATGGTCACAACTTAAGAAATTTGATGGTGGCTGCAAGGTTGCGATTGCAGGTCATTGGAAGCAATAGACGACACCATCTATCGAAATCTGGCTGAGGAAACATTGGTTAGCTATGGTGATGGAGAAAACTGCAGAGTGTAAGCAATTAAGGGAAGGAAACATAAGTGCAGTCAGTACAAAGATGGTCTCTGTTCATAAATTATTGGAACAGAATTAAACCTGAAGAACAGACCAAGCTTGTGATTCTTAGTAGTATATGAAGGAATTGTTCAGAGTAAACATGGTAATTTACTTATTTACTAATTAATTAGATTATAAATTGATTTAAGCTTTTATTAAGAAGGTGATACATGTTGTATTGTATACATTTATACTGTTCAAATGTTTTTCTTTTCATTTTTGATAGCCACACTTTGTGTGTAGAAGATTGCTATTTGATTTGATTATGTTATTGAGCTTTGTCTTTTTCTCTTTGTAAACTATTGTTATTTAACAAAACTAAAAAATAAAAGGAGAAACAGGCAGGGGGCAGTGGAAGAACCAGGAGAAAGACTGATCACTGTCACTGTATGCTGTAGGGGACAGGCTATGCTAAAAGCATATATTTTCCTCCAGATTCTGATTATGTGGATGTATTTCTAATAATTAGTCATATGAAGTAGTCTTCACAGCAGGGTAACCTTGATAAACATGTGTGACCCTCTTGGGACTCCATACCAGAAGACAAGAGTAAGAGTCCCATAGCACCTTAATACTAACAAAATTTGTAGTCGGTATCAGTTTTCCTGAATCAGATGCTCCATAGTTATACAGTAGGTGATTCCATCACCACCACCTCTTTGATGACATAGTCCTCATAGGTACCTTTTTCTTTAGCTGTATCCTTTGCTTTCGAGTGGGGTCCAGGACATCTGATACCCACTTTATGCTGAAATATGTGGCAGCTCCAAAGACAGTCAGGCGGAGAAGGACAGCAAACACTTCATTTTGAGTCAGTGGTCGGGTTAGGAGGTCCTTGGAAATTTCCCCTAGCAACATTGCTTAGGTATTTCTTGTCTTCAGACCAGAACTTGAACTAAATGCAAAGGGGAGGGGGCTGTTAAGTGAAAAAGGGACTTGAGAGACAATACTGAGGTGCCTGTGCTGGCATACAGCACTGTCGTAAAGATAAGAAGGCAATGAACGTATTCCACAAAGGAGACAGCGAACTAAAAATAGTGTAGTCATTGCTAACCTTTTATGCAGCAGAGTCCATTTCATAAAAAGAGTCCACTTCACAAAAGCTTAAGCAATAAAAATGTCTTTAGTCTAAAGTGACACAAAACTCCATTCTGGTTTTGTAACATCTCGAAGATTAAAATATTTATTGTAAAATAAGCTTTTGTGAGTCTGATGAGGTGGGTTCTGGCTCATATTAACTTATTAGGCTGCCCTGATTTTTGCTGTTTAGGGCACTAGAAGTTTCAATATGCACTGAGTTTTAAAACCTCATTATACAGATGGACAGCTTGTTCAATAGTATACCATGAAAACAGGTATCATAGACTAGAAGGCCCAAGCCAAATTGCAAGTCAAAACATGCCTGTAATTGTTACAGCTTATACAAAATTTGCCTGCCTGTGGTAGACATGTTGTATTTCTTTTAGTGAAAGCATATAAGACATTGGCATTCTAAGGCAAGAAGAGAGTTGAGCATTTTCTTGTTTCCTTTCCAATGTATAGTTCTGCTCTTTGATTCTGTGGTTTCTGGAGAATTTTATTTTAAGAAAACAGTTTCTAATGCAACACATTTCTAGGGATGGGCATGAACTGGAAAATGTGGTTTGTGATAGTTTGTGGTTTGTGGCATACCTCGTTCATGAGCTATGGACCACCATGAACTTTTACGTTGTGGTTTCTGGCATACCTGGTTCATGAGCTATGGACTACCATGAACTTTTACGGGCAAAATGAACCACTCTGGTTCATGGCACAGTAGAAAGCCTCTCCCCTGATATGCTAGAGACACCAAACTCACAGGGGATCTCCAGCTGACTCTCCTCTACCTGCCCTCCAAGTTTGGTGAGGATTGGATTTATGGGGTCTGAGTTATGGCCCTCCAAAGAAGGTGCCCCCATCCTCCATTGTTTCCAATGGAGGGGTGAAGCAAAAAACACCAAGGGCAATAGAAGCCCAGCAGAACAGAATCAAAGTCCCCAAGAACCTCTACAGTAGAAACTGAAAGTGGGGAGCATTTTTGCAAGCCCAGCAGAACCAGTGCCACTGTGGCAGTACAAACCCAAGGTCAAGTCAGAGAATTTCTGAAGTAGAAACTGAATGCCCAGCAGAACCCAGTGCCACTGGCATTGCAAGCTTAAAAGGACTGATCTCAAAGCACAGAGTCACAGCAAATCTAAGCAAGGGTGTAAAATCTGTGCAAGAAAATGGGAAGGGAACAGGAAGAAACCCAGAGAGTGTTTCCAAGGCTGGATAATTCCACACACCACTTTTGTTTGAAGTTTGATAAATATTTTCTTTGAGTGGAGACTGTCTGTTTGGAAATGTGTCCATCCACAAACTGGCATGAACCTCCATGAACTGCTTGAAAGTTTGTGGAAAGTTTGTGCCAGCTGACCTGCCATGAACTTCACGTCACAAACTACAAATAGGCTAACATTCTTCACAAACTAAATTCATGAGCCAGTTTGTGCCCATCCCTCCATGTTTCTGTTCAGTAGGCATGTTCAGAAGATGATAGTGAGGCTATAAAGATATGTGTACGTAAACTGCTGTCAAGTCACACCAGATTTATGGTGACACTGTAGGGTTTTCAAGGCAAGAGACGCTCAGAGGTAGTTTGCCATGGCATACCTGTGTTGCAACCCTGGACTTCTTGGTGGTTTCCCATTCAAGGACTAACTAACCAGGGCTGACACTGATTAGCTTCCACGATCTGATGAGATTGGGCCAATCTGTCACAGCAAAACAAAAAAGAAACTTGTGGCACCTGGAAGATTAACAAATTAATTGTAGCAGTAGCTTCTGTGGACTTGAGCCCATTTAATCAGCATGAGATGTGTTTTCAGCTTGCAGATGCCTACACAATTGCCTGTGGGCAATTTTATTTCTCTATTCCCAGTGTGTGTATATAACTGCCAACTAAGGACCCGCTTCATGCATCTGAAGTGGGTCCATTAAAATTTATGCCACAATAAATCTGTTAGTCTTTAAAGTGCCACAAGTCACTTTAAAAGAGTAGCTCATGTGAAAACAATTACTGAATAGACTATTGCTTTAGCACACAACTAAGTTATCTCCATTGCAATATCCCAGATGCATATGGTCTGATTTTGGTGGTTCAGTGCTAAAGAAAGAGAACATTGCACATGTTCTACAGCATTTTACTATTCCAGTATTCTACTATTCCTAAATCTTGGCTTTGAAACTGGGTTCTCAAACTAAGCCCCTGATGGTGTTTGGTTCAGATTAAGGGAGGAGTGCCTTGCTACAACATGGCTCCCCCTCTGAAGCTACTGTCCTTGGGAATCTCTCTTTGAGTGATTGCAGCATGGAAGAGGAAGCAGATACATTGATGTTAACAATGCATGGGTGATTTTAGTACCCTTAAAAAGCTAGACTACTTCCCCTAAATACAATAAAATTATCACTGTGTCTTTAGAAGAAGGGGTACGGTCAGGTTGTGGGTCTTTGCACGCAAGTTTCGTACAACCCAACATTTCCTTTGTGGCACCTTAAAGGCGACCAGATCTGTCGTGGGGTAAGCCTTCTCGGACAAGAGGTTCCTGCATCAGGTGCAGCAGGACCTGATTCTTCCCAGCACAAAGGAATTCCGATCACCTTCAAAGGGACAAACGCCCGCACCGTCGCCGGGGGTTGCTGATCGTGGTACTGAATTGGCATGCAGCGACGCGCCAGGAAGGCACAGTTTTCTGCTACTCTTCCCTTAGAGAGGAAACGCTAGACAACTCACCCATTCAGCGCCGCAGCTCCATCCCCGACGCTCCAGCCGGGAAAACACCCCGTATAGAAACAAGAGCTGCGAGAAAATCTGTCCTCCCGGCTTTTTTTCTGCACGGTGCATTTTTGCACAGAAGGTTTAAATCAGGTTTAAATTAGCACAAGGTTTATAAAACCAATGTAAACGGGTGAGAATGGATGTTGCTCCTGCATTCTAACAGAACAATGTCATGATCATGGACGACAACGGCCGCGGCCAGATTAAACTGTGGCCGCCAGAGTAAGATTCCTGGGTCATAGCTGTCTGGTCTATATCCTGTTTGTTTATTCTTGGAGAATAAGTGCACCCAGGATGATAGATTATACTTGCAATAAAATTATTACTTTTTCATATTATGTATTTATTTATTTTATTTACAGCCCACTCTCCTGAAGACTGACTCAGAGTGGATAACAGCTCTCCTTATATATAATTGAGTAGTGGTCCCACAATGTTCTATGCACTCCAAAATCAGTTGACTCCATGATGTGTCAATCACAAGGTGTCTCTATCCACTGGCTGTGTTGCCTGAGTTCTCTCCCACCCACTGCAGCCTAGACCACTCTTCTCTGATTGGGCCAGCTTTTCAAGGTCATTTGCATATGGAAGCTGACGGGACTTCACTCCATTCCACACCTCAAACTCCCTTCCCCCCAGGAGACAGTTGGAACTGTCAGTTGCATATGGGACATGTTGTATTCTGAGATAAAATATGTCCTCACTCACATCACTTCCCCTTCAAAAGAAACAAACCCTATAACACAATCATGCCACACCACAAAAAAGACAGATCATACCACAAGCAGAATACCACAAGGCAAAAAATGATAGGAAAAGGTGCCAGCAGTCACCCCATTACTGCCACAGATATGTGGCAGTCAGGGCTTCAGAGCACGGTGAGGGCTGCTGGTGTGTGGGGGGAGATGGAAAGCTGATCAATGAGGGGGAAATGTAGGTTGATGCTTGGCTGGGAAGTAGATAGGGTTGCCAACTCCAGATGGGAAAATCCTGGAGATTTGAGAGAGGGAGTCTGGAGAGGGTGAGGTTTGAGGAGGAGTGGGGCCTCAGACAGGTACAATGCAATAGACTCTGCCATCCAAACCAGCCATTCCGTAATGGGGAACCACTGTTGCCAATCTCCAGGTGGGGGCTGGAGGTCACTCAGAATTGCAACTGCTCTCCAGATGGCATTGATCTGTTCCCCTGGAGAAAATGGTGGACTCTGTGTCCTTATAACCTGCTTAGGTTGCCATGGCAAATTGATTCTGAGTGCCCATGGCCTTGGCACTCTCCCAGGGCCTCTTTCTAGCATTCATTGTATTTATTTCCACAATGGGCCTTATTCCTAGTCAGTTTATAGATATACAATTAAAATGTCCAAATATCAAATAATTAATCAATAAATCTCCAGGCAACAGAAATCAGTTCACCTGGAGAAAATGGCTGCTTTGGAAAGTGGACTCTGTGGCATTATACCCCATTGAGGTCCCTCCCCTCCCCAACCCACCCTCCTGAGGCTCCACCCCCAAAATCCCCAGGTATTTCCAAACCCAGAGCTGGCAACTCTAGGTGGGAGGGCTCCTACGGTCATTTCCAACTGTTGAGTTTCTTTGTTGAGGGACTCACATTTTCCACAGTTCTCAAACTAGCCCCCACGTGTGAGGGACGTGGATAGACTGAGGAGATCCTGCTTCAGTCTTGGGTAAGGATGGCAACTTCACCTTGGAAAATTACCAGAGATTTAGAGATGTGCCTGGAGAGGATGGAGTCTTCAGAATGGTGGAGGCTCAGCAGGGAATTAATGCCATAGAGCTCACACTGAGAAGCTGCCGTTTCCTCCAGGCAGGGCCTTCCACAAGAGGAGGGAAGGGTATCCTTTACTGTGGCCCAGATGTCCAGAGAAGCCTGATGGTGGCCCAAGGCTGTGATACGATGAGGGGAAAAACCTGAGGATAAACTGTAAATCAGGGGTCCCCAACATGGTGCCCAAGGGTTTTTAGAAAGTGAGCAGAGCCAGATGGGGCTTTTGCCCAGCAGGGCCATTGGAGAGTTGATTACATAGAAATTTAAAAGTTGATTCAGCATCAGCTGCACCACAGCTGCATCTTTACTATGTTTGTATGCAAGAGTTTTTTTTAAATGTTAATAGTTGATTCAGCATCAGCTGCACCACAGCACAAGGATCTTTACTATGTTTGTATGCAAGACTTTTTTAAAAAAATGTTAATTTTAAAAGGCATCATGTGAAACAGAGCTCCTGCCTGAAATATTGAAGAGTTGCTATTAGAGTTATGCATAGCTTCACTTACTGAGATTTTGTCATAGGCTCTGCCTCTTGTGGAAGCCATTTTGTGGTTGCACCCACCACTCTGTCAGAATCCTAGTGGTGCCTTCAGGACTGAAAAGTAGGGTTGCCAACCTCTGGTGGTGGCTGGAGATCTCCCACTATTACAACTCCAGATGACAGAGATCAGTTCACCTGGAGAAAATGGCCTCTGTGGGAGTTGGGGTCTATGGCATTATGCTCTCAATCCTGTTCTCCTGAGACTCCGCCCCCAAAATCCCCAGGTATTTCCCAACCTGAAGCTGGTAACCCTACTGAAAAGGTTGGGGAGTGCTGCTGTAGATCATGCCCAAGTGTATTTATAGAAACTTATTTCTCCATATTTATGTATCTAATGTTCAGATCTCTTGTGAGATCTGAAGCAGTGTTAACATCAGTTTCAAGCAACATTCTGAACAGCCCAGCCTGAGGCCCTTTTCTAGAATAAATAAAGTGTGCTTATACAGTTAAAGTAGGACTGTGCCAGCGAGACCGAAATACAGAGAGAGATTTGTTTTCTTCTATTTGGCATGGCATGTCATATCAAGAATTACAAATGCCAGTGTTCCCTGTGCATAGACAGGCGGGAGGGACACCTTGTGGGAAGGGCAAAGCAAAGCACTATAAGAGAGTGGGAGCAAGTGCTGCTGCTGCTTCTGATAGGATTTGCATGCCCAAAATTCATTTAAGTGTCTAATTCACTCACAGTCTCTCTCACTCTCCCCCATGCTGCCATGTCTGGTGATGGCTATAAATTTAGTGACCCCAGAATTACGAAACAGCTAGCAAACTTGTAGAACTCTCAGGCTGGGTGGTGGTATTATTAAAGAAGCAAAGGTGGGCATTTTTCAGAAATGTAGCTTACGTGACAGTAATTTTGGAATTAAACTTTCTTTCTTTCTTTTTTTTTTGTGGATTAGATAGGATTGGAATTAAACTTTCTTCATGGCTCATGAGATTGTATGTGTGGGATGAGGGAATGTGGTGTCAGTGTGTGTGTGGGGGGGCATGTTATAAGTTTGTAGTAGTTTCCCTTGCTCGAAAACTGTTTCCTTCCCACTGAAGTTTGTAGTAGGCCTGAAAAAAAATGCTTGAGCTGTGCCTCCAGGGGAACTGATCTCTGCAGTCTAAAGATCAATGATAATTCCAGCAGAACTCCAGCCCCCACCTGGAGGTTGGCAACCTGAAGTCCTTGGTCACTCAGACCAACCTACCTCATAAAGTTGTTGTGAGAATAAAATGTGGGAGGGAGACCATATAGTAACTTGGAGCTCCTTTGAGGAAGGGTACAATACCCAGGTAATAAACATTTTGGTATTAGGGAAATTCAACTATTTTCTCTTTCTCAGCTAGCACATGCATTGTTTGTATTTACGTAGCCTGTATAGAGCATTGTTATCATTATGGATGCCACTACAGACACTGTGGCAGAATTTGCAGGAAAAACTGGTGGTTCTCAAAATGTGGGTTGGATCCCCTGGTCGGTATACAAACTATGAGGGAGGGACAAGCTCCTGTCAGGTGGAGCCTTTTCCCCACCACTGA